TGACCACGGAATTTTTGACAGAAGCAAAGTCTTAATGCATTGTCCTCCGCATTCCCAGTTGGCAGTTTTCTGGCTTCGAATAATTTTAAAATGCCTCTCAGAGGGACCAGCAGAGCTTGAGCGGCAGTTCCGATGCAGCACCAGTATTAATCTCTCCCATTCCTACTGCTTTCCTGTGATGAAACAACCGAAACGATTGGCAGTTTCCAGTGGAGTTTGTACCATCTACGAGCGCTGCAACGTTTTAAGGTGCCTATCCTCAACCAATTTGACTCCATCCAAGTAGATATGCCTATCATGCGTAACATGAAGACTACAGCACGCTTCATTTCAGTTCCCAGCAAACACGTGCACAAAACAATCTGTAGCCTCAAATCTCAAGTTCGACACCCTACTTACAGAGAACTGGAAGAACAGATAGTCAACTGAGTCTGATAAAATTAGCCAGCTACTACGGTCGAGAGTGGAGCGCACGATCAGGGTGTCTGGAGGTTTAAGTGCCTTAGAAGAATGACGCCTCCAATAACTGGGTAACTCAGACAAAACCAATTCAGCGAAGTATGTTGAGTATTTTTGAGAACGAGAGATGCAATCAGATCCCATAAAGTCAGACAAGGTTTCACTAAGTCCACCTTGGCATCACGACTCAGGCAAACACCATTATCGACTAAAAACGAACAGTTTTGAACCAGACACACTGCATCGAAGTAAGTGCAATAACAGTGCATGAAAAGCGTCAGGGCAAACGCACCATCCTCCACAAGATGGCGGAACCACCGCAATAACCAAAATTTGAATTCTGCCGAGGAGCCGACCAGTTCTGCACCCTGCATCTGGCACTCGAGGAACTCGCTAAGGCTTTGACGCTGGGCACTGGAGAGTTGGCCAATTCTACTAAAGGAAAACAGGAGACAATAGTCAACAGCAAACGGTATCCGTCAAACTGCAAAATAACAAAGGGGTCATGGCTGATGATGCATGAAAATAAAAAAAAAACATACAGATCGACTTAGAGAAGTCGAAGCCGAGGGTTTGTGGCGTTCAAGTTGAGTAAGCAAACAAAATTTCTGGGCAAGAACGCGTAACCGAATCAGTGACACAATTTCTTGTGATGGCACTCATAGTGACTGATCCATTCGGCGGAGGTGCATGTCCAGTAAGTCCCAAGAGAGGGTTTTTCGTTATAATCGGTTAGCGGCAGATTTCTGTGCGGTGTTGGCATACCAGCCACACAGGTCGTAGACCGTATAGGTGTGCCCGATGTCTACAGCTCGCTCACGCCTGACTTGGGTCAGCTACCCCGAAGCCATCGACGCCAGAGTGAATTCGGCACCCAGGAACACTTTAATTTCATGTACGGGTAGCAAATGACCCAGCCATCTCTACTGTTGTGTAAAGAAGACGCAGTTGACGAGTTGAGTTCCTAATCGACGCGAATAGAGCAACTCACTTTGACGACGAAATATAAGTACCACTGATGAAATAGTTCCTGACAATGGACGCCTTGAAAGCGCGCGGGTTACATTTCACATGGCATTTACTAGAGTCCCACACAATCTTGGTCGGATCGTCAATCTCCTTGGAGCTGGGTACCTTGGGGAGGCAGGCGGCGTACACGTCAAGAGCCATCAGATTCCGGTAAGGAATGCACGATTGTCAGTATCTTCCAGACAGGCGTGTTTGCTAAGTTCATGTCCCGACCCTCTAACAAGAGCCATGACATAGGCGGGAAAGCGCTGCAATAAAAGAGATCCAGAGGCTTGTTACAAGTTGAGTTATATAGTCATCAAGACAATCCTTGTGGCGACAGCAAAAAAATTTATTTGATGGCGGCTCAGGTCCCGTTGTCCGACTCCGTGGCAATCTATGCAGCAGCTGAAGTCCGAGGATTTAGCTTTCACCGTTCTGGTAGCTCAATCACTGGTGATCCACAATAGCCTTTTCTCCAGACACAAAAGTTTGCTTGCATCGTGGCTGGCCTTTGCGTGGCGTTGTACCACCAACTGCCACCCGTAGACGGACTGGAAAGCAAACAGTCAAGTGAAAATTCTCGTCCAGTCTTCTTGGGGCTCCAGCCTACTGGTCAGTTGAGAAAAGTACGAAAAGATTTCTTCTGTGCTCATTTTTGAAAGGGAGTGATCTCCTATAATCGCACTACAATGCTAAATTAGTCGCGACCACACTGGATATCCCGACAGAAGAGACCATTAGGTAGCTGAGGAGTTGAAGGAAGAACTTGTTAGGAAGGTGCGAGATCCCTTCCCAAACGTGGATGCGTCCTCATGCGAGAAAAAGTCACCCTTACTGGTAACCAGTTGAGCTCTTCATGGATCATAACATAGGTTCCTGTCGGACGGCGGTTACCACGAAAGTTCGGATGCACTAAAACGGCACGGTAGGCACTCCTGACTTCATAGATTTACGGTACGGTGCAGCACACAGAGTAAGTGAAGATGAATTAAGGTGACTATTAACATTTCTATGAGAAAAGAATTGTCTCAGTTAGAAAGTATTTCTTCAAGAGCATGGCGACGTCAGAGGACGAAGAAAGTAAGCAACCAAAGGTTCCGACCTTCGGTCAAATACTGCGCTCAATTTCATCTCTAATCGCATTGAAGAAGACTTACTATTGACAAAAGTGAGTACGACCGCTTCAGTTTGGATCTCGAACTTGGTGCAAAATTACGACCAATAAGGATACGACTCCCTAAATTATTACAATGCGCAAACGATCGTGGCTTAGGAAGTTGCCAACTGACCCCGCGACTCTGTCCTGCTTAAGACGGAGGGAGTGGCCGTAATGCCCCTTCTTAATGTAGGGTTGGTGGCTCTCTCTTTGGTGCAAAACCTAATACCGTCTCTCTCTCGCTTTCTCTCTCTCTCTCTCTCTCTCTCTCTCTTTGAACAAGGTTTGTTTGGGGTTATGGAAGACCATGTGTGAGACGCGCGTGGATGTGCCTTCAGTTTCGTCAGTCATTGCATCAGCGAATACCTCCGATCGCCAAAGACGGTTCCGTGACTGGAGATGGATACTGCACAAGCATGCTTTACCTTGCACAAACTTACGTGTAGAAAAGTACTGGACGTCTCTAATCCTCGTCGCTTGCGATGGATGAACATGGTCTTATGTACGAGCCGGGGCGTGACCATAAAAGCAACAAAAGCGGGCAGTTCATACGCAGTCGTGTGCGCGATAGACCAATGCCAGAGACGATACGTGCGGATTACAAGGTCTGGGCAGGGTCTTATGCATGATGTTTCTATGACCATGCAGACGTCTTGGACGCAACTCACTAAACGGTCGCAAAAGGCAAGATACTTTGGACAGCCCACTAAAGATTAGCAGGGAAGGCTTCGCGCCGGGTTCTGCGACGATCCTTACTGTTCGACAAATTCAACGGCATGGGCGGCAAGTAAGATTCAATATTCACATTCAGAAAAAGTCGAAACTCACTCTAGGGGCAGGCCAGCGGTTTTTGGCGGAGTTAGTTTAGAAATATGTTGAAGGTTGCAGAGGGGGCCGGAAGGACAAGAACGCTGCATGGAGATGGCAGCATGGCATTTCACCGGATCCAGAGCATCCAAAAGTTCTACCCTGTTATGGGTAAAAAATGGTGTCATGCGGGTAGGCTTGAAAGTCTTATGGTCAGTGAGCCTCAGAAATTAATGAGGATAAATTTAAAAAAACCGATGATGTACCGACTAACTGCTAACAAATAAGCCGGACAGAAAAGTTAGAAAAAATGCGTAATTCAATTAAGCACCAGGGTAAGAAAAGGCGATCGAAACCAACGTGGACAGTAAAAGAGGCTAGGCAGCGTAGTCGACCCCTTGGAGGTATAAAAAAGCGCGGCAATGGTTAGGGATGGGGACACAATGATTATAATCCGACTTAGAAACGTGTAGGTAAATACAGAGGTCGTTGGGGTATAAGGCGCCTATCTCAACCATTATAAGGGTCACAAAGATCCTGTGCACCCCTGGTCTGTGAAAGATTATTTTTGTACTTTCTACTATTTTGCCAGTCAAATCACAACCGTGTCAGCAGGCAGCGAGTGCTCAAACTGTAAGGCGCAAAATACGCTACAGTGAGAAAGTCAAAGGAATCCGAGGAGAATCCGACGGGATGCTTCTTCGTACACCCTTCTACAACCAGAGTTCATCCTAGTAGTTCAAATTTTCAGGACAATTAACCTGTAAGCCAAAAAGGACCAGCGGCTTCATTTGCGACACTTCGCCATGGGACTGTTTTATATTAAGTTTGGAAGAAAAAGTTGAACGAGAACGAATCCTCTTGTGTACTGTGGGACGGAGCGCCGTAGATGTTGCCATCTCATGAAACGTTCATCGAAATTCTGAAATGCGGTTTTAATTCCAAAATATTACTTAGGCGGGGTTGTAATATTAATTAACGTGTGGCATAATACCAAGATATTCCAGTCAGGTCACGGTGCTGGCTTCCGAACGACTCCTTATCGACCACCTTTGTAAAATACGTTCTATAAAAAGTGACTACTTAAGCAGTATGAATTTTTCCCCGTTGATTTTCGATGCCCTTAAAAATCCAAATATAGTTTATGAAAACATACGCGAAAATATTCTTTCCTTCACTCATTTGGTAGGAAAGTACGTCTTCTTCAAATTTTATACATGAAGAAAGAGCATCCTTCGGTTTCAAAAAAGTGTGGTATAAGGAAGGATATGTTCGCATGATGTTCCTGTATCTACTTTGATTGAACTCCTAGATCTACCTATGGGAACACTATCAACAGCTGGAAGGGTCACCAATCACTGCATTTCTGGCTGAGGTCACGAAGCTCTAACCACTGAGCCATGAGCTCGCTGTCCTGCCGGTTGCGATCGATATATCAACTATGGCAAAAAGCGCTCACCGATCGTGTTATAGGGCATACTCGTCCGTTTTGTTCTAGGTCACGATCTAGAGCCCCGTAGACAGTCCTACAGCTGAGGAGAGACGACAGAGAATGGAAGTACGCTGATACAGAACTGTGTGGGGATGACTTTGCCCTCATTCAGCCAATTATAATCCTGACCACTTGCTGGGAGCGGAAACACAAACACGGGCACCCACACGGCACAGGTGGCTCACAACCTGCCTCTACCAGACGGGTTATAAACCCTTTCATCGAAGAAGGAGGAACATTTTTAAAAAAGTAAAGCCATCCAGTGCCAGCTCAGATGCTTACCAGACACGGAGCTCGGTGTTGAAGAGGTAGCACGATCCACAGACTAGGCGAACGACAAGGTGGCCTTTGTCGGTGAATTCCAGGGAAGAGCACACACCGCCATCGCCAGCTAGGTGGAAAGGCAAATGTAGTTTGAGAAACAAACAGAGATAAGCAAGTTCAGTACAAAGGCTGTAACAAAAACGAGGAAATTGACGGGATACTCAGGTGAAGTTCGGCCAGTAGAGGATTGAGAGAGGAGGAACTCCTATGCTCAACCACTGCACACAGTCGTATCTTCAGAAATCAGGAGTTGGCTTTGCAAACCGAACACGGTGAGTGCGGGATGGAGTTGAAACGGTCTGCTGTGTGCCTTCCTTACGATCCGACTAACACGCGTTAAAAGCGGAGCCGTTTTTCGTTTACTCAAATGCCTTTAAACAAAGCGAACAGCGATAGGAGTTAAGGGGTGAAAATGTAACTCCCAAATACCATACTACAAGAGCGGGTTGCGTTCGAAGAGAAGGACAGTTGCGGTCTGTAATTACGAGGAGAGAATTCAAACACCCATTGGTACGTCCCGCGAACGGACCACCAAATACACAGAGAACGACACAAAACGTGATCCACACGCTCATCTGTGCAAAAATCACAGCGGGGAGTGAGCCGTAACCAGAACAAACTATTTCCTGGGGGTGGGCTGCTGAATTTTCTACAGGGGACCTATGATCCTAAATACCACAATCCATCCTCTTCGCGTGGAAAATCAGTGAAATGTCCAAGAACCAAAATGAAAAAGCCTGGTCAGACAAGACATACGTTGAACGATGCCAGCCACGGTAGATTCAACCAACAGCCGGGGTAGGGCAGCCGAAAGGCGACCGCTAAGCAGCGGGGTTCGATCACAGCCGGCAAAAAGGGACCAGACTCGGAGGCAACCAGAGGCAGTAATGGCGGCCAGACGCACTTCATCGAGGTCCGCCAACTGCTGCTGAGGCTGGCATGATGAGGCGGCGGCGGTGGGGGTATCGACGGAGGCCTGATTGCCACTACTGCCTTCGCCTAAGGGGTAGAGGTAGGAGGAAAAAGCAGGCCGGACGCCGGGCGCGGGCTTGAAAGCTTCGCCATTCGGTTTTGTAGACTTTTTCCACGGATCGTAGGCAGCTAGCTGAAGCAAACCCGATTCCAGGATGATGGGTGGACAGATAGCAGCGCCACCACATTGGAGTAGTCGCAAACGACCACGACAATCACCCAGTGCTATAAGGGTCCTGTGAAACGGATACATAAAACCAAAAAAGGAAATTACTGAAGAAGGTATAGAAGGAAAACATGTAACCAAAGAAACACCTCGGTAACGATCGGATATGTTGCCGCAATGAAAAACTGGAGGACTCCCGTAATAAGGTTGCGGAGGTAACAGGGATCTTATGAGTGGATAGACAAAGCTGGTCGATAACCGTTTTCGGGAAGCAAGGGGGAGGAACCTACATTCGCGCCACTGGCCTGTTTAAATACACCAAAATGCCGAAGAACGCCAGCGCACACTTTGAAATCCAAGAAATTAAAGGCTGCCAACCGGGAGGAAAAATGAGTACCGACGACTCTGGTTAGAAATTCCGGGCAAACTGATACCGACCCGGGATGACTAATTGCACTGCAGGGGGAACTGTGAAAAATATACCGTTAAACCCCGCTGCCGTGATGGCCGCAACTGAAGATATGATTGAACTTGACAACGTTAATGGCCTAACCCCTAGCTCCAGACCGATGTCAAAAGACTAATCTTAACCCCCAAGTCTAATCCTAACCTTAAAGTCTAGCCCTAACTTTAAGCCGAATACCAATCCTAATGGTAACAGCCAAGGTAGGCTCGACGGAGAATGAGCTACAGAGAAGGAGGTAAAGTTACGTCACCCAAGTGACAGAAAGCATTTCATAGAAGTAAAGACTAGGTGGGTCCACATGCTCGATCTAAAGCCTTAATAAGGAGGGATTCAGAAACGTGTCCACCTGTTTGCGTAGCTCCTCAGTGTCAGTTATCTGGTGAGACACGAAAAGGAACATCAGAAACGAAGTATTACCGGCAGCGCAACACATAGACTACCTTTCGTAGGTCATTAGTCGATAATTTACATCACTTACAGCTATGAATGACGCAGGAAACAGGCAAAAGGTGAGCAAGACGATGAACGGGTCAGTAAAGTCTGGGGAGCTTCGGAAATAGGCGAGTACGCCGTGCACTCTGCGTACGAAAAGACACGGAGTAGCTTACAGAGCGGGGTAGCAATCTTGCCAGACATATATAACCTTAGAGATGTGCAAGAACAGAGCAAACATCGATGTTCCGTAATGCCGCAAGACGGTCCACACGACCCTAAAAACCAAGGTTGGTGCTGAGACGGTGGAGTGTGCAACCTAGGGTTGAATCCAGCAATAACGAAACATCATCAGCATAGAACACTGCCATATCAAACAAGTATCAGCCTCTAAACGACAAAACTGGGTAATTAGCGTCCTGAAGGAATTGAACCAAGTGACCCGATTGAACGTGTAGTGGCAACGTAGCCATAGCAATCGTGGACAGAGAAAGCCCAATATGCGAAGATAGGTTGAAAATTAACCCGCGCGGCAAGATGTCAACCAGAATCGGCTGACTACAGAATAACAACGAACTGGTTTTTCTGTCGATCACAACTGGGATTCGGTCAGTCCCATCGAAATGGAGTAACCAAGGACCAGAACGAGAACAAGTCTGCAAAACAACACAATACAGCATGCCTGCCCAAAGACGCCAAGCAGTTTCGCAAAAACGGAAAGCGCGAGGAAAGAGTTTCCACTACAAAACATAACCCCTGTGAATTTTATACCAAGATTGTGTGTAGGGGGGAGGGAAAGATCGAGAGTAAAAAAGCTAACATCGGCAGTTGAGTCAATCGCCCATTTACAGTTGTACACTGCGGCATGCGTGCCGACGATAACATTGTATTCACGAAGATACGCGTGCCAAGCATTTCAGCGGCCGCATCTTGAATATGTGGTACAGGCTTGGGGGCCGTGGCTTCGGAAGGATATGTACATTCTTAAAGGTGTACAGCGACGTGCTACAAGGTCTGTTCATGAACTCAGAAATTTTACGTACGAGCAGCGCCTGACGACCTTGAATATATATCCCCTCTACTGCAGGTAGGACAGAGGTGACCTCATAGCAACGTTTCAGTTGCTAAGAGGATTCGATCAGGATGTCGACTAGGAAGCTCCTTTTTCAAACGACGACAAAGGCTATTCTCGGACGGCAGGATTACCAGTTTAAAAAGGAACTGTGTCACACCAATCAAAGTTCCTCCTTACTCTCGCAGAGTCATTCGCCAACAGAATTCTTTGTCGACGTATGTTGTAAATTCGCCTACCGTGAGTGTGTACAAGAGATAGATGTATAAACACCTGTTAAAAGGCAACCCGAGCTCCCCAAACCCCACCTGGTGGATTACTAAAATGACTAAAAACATACCATTAACACGATTCAACAGATCCTTTTCTGTACATTAATCTTCACCGAGATGAAAATTTCGCAAACGCCACATCACATTTCTGTTTCACCCTTATTTTTGTGCATTCTGCACACTGAAACTACATGTACAATTTTTTACAACATAACTACTTTCCACCCACACATGCTTGAAGGGCTTTTCTAACTCACTCCAAATATGCTGCCTGATGCTGACTACATGGCTATATTTGCCAAAATCAAATTAACAATAGCAGATGAGTCAGAGTGCAAATTCCCACTCCGACATAAGATGACTAGACAAGAATCTGGCAAAAACACTACACATATCCACATCCTCTGCAGAAAGAACCCAATACAACACAAGAAAGGTTGTATGCAGGCTACGCAAGAAAGAACACTAAGGCGTGTGAACAAACTGCACGAACGATCAACAAGATGAGCTATCAGAGCGGTTGAGTAAGAGAAACAGCTGTTTCAGTGCGTTCATAAGTAGATACCTACGGCATCGTCGAGTGCAAGCAACGGATGACAGCGATGAAACAGGGTCCTGAATGTGGCATGTATTGCTCTGCAGTATGACAGCCTCTAAGGCCACAGAACGTACTGTTCGAGGCCGAAACATCGTCGCCACACACTGACAACTGACCCAGTGCGTAGCCAAGTCATGTGCACCAAAGGACCGATTGAATACACGAGGACAATCGAGCGTTTTCTACTGCACTCCTATTGCTGACCAACCCCGCAACCATAGAGACCAAACTACATGAAAGACTGAAGAATAGTTCTGGCGGGAAGACCCACTATCCCCACTGTGCGGAGAAAAATAACCTTCGGCGTTGCTGTCAGGTCGGTAGTCAGATGGGCTGCTAGCAAAACCGCAAGCAAGGTTATCCCTATGTCGGATTCAGGTCGGGTGTCGCTGAAAAGTTGCATCGAGTTCGAACACGCATGCCAAGCAATGCGTAGTCAAATTAAAAATCACAACCCAACCGTATGGTTGGTGACTGTCTAAAGATCCATTCAACTATTCAAAATGATACAAGACAACGATGGCTGACTAATTCACAAGTATAGCCGTTACTTCTCTTGATTCTTTCCTATCTGAAGACGGATCCGAAAAACGGTCCGAAAGCTCGCGTAAATGAACTATCCTCGCCGACGATCGTAATTGATTCAGTCGAATTCACGCCCGCAGATTCACCGCATCAGGAGTAATCGCATCCAGTGCAGTCAGTAGGAAGCAGACGCTTGAGCAAAGTTAGGCCAACTAACAGGCTAGTCCCTCACACCGAAAGTCGAGAAATCGGAAATGCGCATGGGACGGCGGCCACCACATCCACCCACATCTTTAGTTATTCGGTTCGCTTCCGTTGTCAGCCAAGGCGAAGTTTCAGCAAGGTGACACATCTCGGACGATTTCGCCTCTGGTTCGACGCACCACAGAGTCAAATTAGCTCAGTCGACATGCAAAACAGGCGAATCTGATCGATCCCGTTCGTGAGTGACTGTACAGTCGTACGTCGGTGACGCGATAGGGGAGAGCGCAGACAATACCGATCGGATTCTTCCACGCGAGTGATATCTTCAGAGCGCACAGAACATATTCTCAGTTTCACAACAACCCACTGTCTCGACGGAGGCCTCGTTTAGTCGCAAGTTCTTCTTCACACTAGTTTCATGCCGATTCCAGAGGTCTCGACGATCACGGACGGAAGATAAGCACGCCTGGCTAATTGGATGGTCAATTTCACAATTGCTTTCTTCGTTCGACAGAAAACTCTACTCGGGACAGGGAAAACTGTCTACCAGTCCAAGAGCCCTACCGTCCACCGTGATCGGACAGATATCTCCGACCACAAGGCCCGATGCCGTCATCGGGTGCCTTCGCACCTATCCAGGACATTGCACATCACACTTCTGTACGAGGGTTTGCCGGCACCGCAACGTATCAGTTTATTTCAAATCCGTAAAGTATGGAGCGCAACCTATCGTAATACAGCAGTGGCCTGCAAACGTGCACTGCGTAGCCAAGCTGGGTAAAGCTGGTGTAAGAACACGACCCTGACGGATGTCGGCAGTGACAGCAAAAGCAATCTCCTCGGATCCTAGTTCTTGGTTAGATAGCGGGCTTCAGTTAGCCAGAGTAACTTCAGTGACCTGCCATCAGTTAGCATGGTCAATCGCAAGGGATCCCCCATAGATAGAGTTGAATGCAGAAGCAAAAGTCACGGAACGGGCAGAAGTTGGCTGGTGGCAGGTGTGGCAGCATTCAAGGTTTCGACGAAGGGAGAAGTGCCGATCGACACACTTCCGTTTCGACAGAAAACTGCACTGATTCAAATCCCAGACTCGATCACCCAAGCAGCCGAAACGTGCGAATGAAGAGGAAGTTTTCGTCTCCCGTTACGGGGTATACAAATAAAAGCACTAAACCTCCACAGAGGCAGTCCCATATTGTACATAACTACTCGTTATAATTGACTCCCCGCTTCTCGTCGTGTAGACTACACGAAGTCTGGGATGGACAGCTAACTAAGTATTCAATTGGTCAGTAAATCCAATTGTAGAGTCTGGAGAAGCAAATGATTAGCTGAGATGGAATGACCACGGTATAGGAGTTCACTTGCTACGCTGTATGCAAATAAGACATAACCATGACAAAGATGTGATTCATATTGACCCAACTGTGAAAAACTCGGCGCCTCGGTGGGATTCGAACCCACGCAGTAAGGGGAAGGCTTAAGTACAGCCAACGCTCTAACCACTTGAACTACGAGGCCCCGCCGGACGACGCGAGTTTAATAACAGAAGGGTCAAGTTACCCGTCCAACCTACTGCAACGCCTGGAATCCACCAAATCAGATACAGTAAGTTGACTGACCAAGCAGGATTTCCTAAGTAATTCACCTAGAATCCATCAGACGACAACCAGGCTCACGTAATTCATAGATGTTTTGGCAGAGCGTTGGCTGTACTAAAGCCTTCAACTTGGTGCCGTGGGTTCGAATCCCACCGAGGCGCACCGAGTTTTCACGGCTGGGTCAATATGGATTATTCAAAATCTGCCAAAACATCTATGAAAAATGTGATGATGATAAGTGATTGTCAAGTTTTCTTTTATTGAACGGCGTTTAGTTCGCTGTTTTGATAATCGATAGCATACATGACTATCTTAGATCGCGCAGTACAGAAACGGGCAAATTCTGTACTTTTCAGTTTCCCGAGTTGACTATTTGGGGACAAAACTGGCGTCTTCTGACCTGATAATGCCGTCGTCAGGGATAAGATATTAAGAAACACATTAACTATCATATGTATGGACAGAAGTCTCTATAAGAAGACGACGCAAGAGTTGAAACATATCAGGAGAATAATAATGTGAGTGTTGGGTTTTCATAAAAAACCAAAGAGTAGATATAAACACGCATGCACGCGACGAATACTCGTTTTGACAAAGTTTAAATTCAACTAGGACGAAATCTCCCTTGCTGAGCCAATCCTGTTTACTCATTGTGGTGCTTTAAAGGATAAGATTGACATACGTGTCAGAAAACGTTAAAGGCACCCATGGCAAAATGCAAACTGTAAACATCCCTAGAGACATCTTTCCGAACTATTGAAGTAAAGCATAAAAACCCAATTGGCTTGTAGTTACTCAGCAAGAGGATAGCAATTTGCTGCTGCTTTTCGGTAGAATGCTAATAAAATCACTTTATAGGCATCTGGTTAAAATAATGTAAGATTTTTGCGTTTGATTACCACAGCATGATCTTGCTAACCGAAATTAAAGATAGGCGCTAAAAAAATAAACTGAGGACTTTTGCTAACCAAAGATGGAAACCGAACAACTACGGAAGCCGTAAGTCACGGAGAATCGAGGGAAAGTCCAACATTTTCAACGAGTACGAGGGTTAACCTAGCACTTTCGGCTTTTTTTCCGTGCATATAAATAAAATCGCCAACAAATGCAATCCGAAAGATAGTAGCGTATTACTAGAACGAAAATTCGGACTACGTGAGGTAGTACGAGATAGGAAATTCCCGGGAGATTAGTTTATACATTTCGACAAACGGATATTCCTGCAAAAACGTTCCGCATGATGTACACAGTTCGACATAGCCTTCCAAACGCCTTCTAATAGCGCATGTTCGAACATAAAGCCATAAGATAAACGAAACCTACTCGGTGTGCGCATGCGCAGTGAAACGATCTCGATTACTCAGCTCCCAGATCTGTTTGTCGCCTCGGGAGGCAGTCACTTTGTGCATACTCGTAGATTGTGATTTGCTTCCCTCAGGGGTTGATGTGTTGATCACATTGACGATGACCGTCCCCTCCACGGAATTGCTGCAGACGAACTGGGTGCGTCCCACAGTGGGCATTTGCTCTAGGCAGATGCGGCCCATCTGCATCGTTCCGGTCGTAGCGTGCAGCGGCTGTGCCAGAGACGTGGCCTTAGCGGTTTCCTTGTCGGGAGTGCCTAAATGGGAAACTTGAACGGTCATTAACGGCAATTTTCAAAAGGGAGTTACATTGGTTTATCCACCCAAAATCAACTCAAATCTCTCTCGATGTCTTGAGGATGCAGGTGAAGACGAGGCAGGATGAGAGGTTTAGCGAGTAAGTGTCGCCTCAGTACAAGAGGAGAAACTGAGCGCTACCTTTCATGGAAAAAAGGTGCCGAGTTTAATGTTATTATATTACTGCCTGCATTTCAGTAACGTTTTCTTTGTATTATCATCCTGTGTCCGTTGAATGTGAGTGTTGGCATTCAATTCCTCTCCCTCAGAAACTGAGATCGCACCAATTATCCATAGACTGACTACTGTACAGCACATTTATTAATGTTTATGCTTTTAAACACTTGGAGCAATTCGTTTATCTGACTAGTTTCGAAAACTTTGCAATCAGCTGGTCAACAGCAATGCCACCGGGTAGAGAGGAACGAATTCTACTGTCCATCTTGAGAAAATCGGTAATTACGCCATCGTTTGTTGGGTGTCCAATCGGACTACGAACAGTCACAGAGCCACAGACAAGGCTGCCACAACTACTTAGGCCCGCTATTCACTCTCCCAAAGTTATTTAACTTAATTTAATTTCGTCCGTCAATAAACAAGGCAACTTCTGCAGCCACCACGTCCACCTAAGGAGTCGTCTCAAAGGCAGAACTGGAAAACAGGCAATAAAATGTACTTAAGTAGCAATCTCTTAATGCAAGAAATTGGTAAAGAAACCCATTGTCATCAAGGATAAATCACGAGGAAGGTAAACAGTAGCTGAGAGTAACACCAACCGGGTTTCGTAGACTGACTCCTACAGGAACTAACTCCACCGCCACTGGAGGAGGCAGCAGATGCAGAGGGCGCATTCGCACTAAGGCGGTCAGTCGCTTCATCGTGAAGGAATAAACGATGACGCCGACGCTTTCGTTTTTGCGCCTTGTCCAGGGGCTTTTCGGAGCCTGCTCCCTGCGTCGGACTGGCGACCAATTCTGAGCGCTTTCGTTTCCGACCCGAAGAGGACGGTGAAGTGGATTCTGAGGCCCCAGTCGCTGTCGTAGGGCTCTGAGAACGCACGGGGGACGCCTTCGTCGCACTCGGCGTACTGCTCACTACGGGGGCGACATGAGAGGGGCTCGGGCTGAGTAAGTACGCAGAGAAAGAGGTCGAAACAAATTGAGCGGTGGTCAATGATACCCGAAATGATTAAATGTAGAAAATGAGTAAAAGTTGAGCGCCAATCACGTTAGAAGGAAATATGCAGGATGAAAACTGCGGCAAATGGTGTACATTATCTGAAGAACCGCACGTATCAACCCGACCTCTCTCTGATTACACAAATGAGCTGGGCACAAGTAGTCGGAATACTAACAAAAATGAAAAGAGGGATATCGACAAAGACGAGGAATACTGAGGTGGCCGTTTGTGCACTATTGGTCGTTGTCAGCCAACATTGTCCAACTCCATGGGAGGGGCGTGCCGCGTAACCCGATCAGTGAGTGCAGTTCCAAAATAGTTAACATTCCTGATAACAACGCCAGCCGGACCCCGATCTAGCCCGTGTTGGCCCGGCGCACTTACCACGTAGTTCATTTTAGGGGGCAACCTAGCATATCAGCTGTCTTCGGTCAGCCGTACCCGATCACATTCCGTACTTAAGTTCGACTGATTGATAAATAAACAAAGGGCGTGGTCTTGGGTTGCGCACAAAGCACTTATCACATCTAAATTCTTTTCGATAAGTCAAAGAGGAACGACACTACACCGCCACTACTACTTGGTCTAAGGACTTGGCTGGTGCAAAACATAACAAAACAGCATCGAGGGAAAGTATTGGTAGTCGACCAGGCTACAAAATTTGGAAAAAAATGCCGCAAGAGTTTCAATTGACCATCCAGATCTCGATTAGTTCTCCTGTACAAGGAAGAACGTGCTGTATCCGTCTGTGCAACTGGGTCCCTAGGGAGAGTATTTTTCAGTTTATTTGAGGGAAACATAGGTGTTGAACCTTTGAACTCCCTGTTTGTTACAAGGAAGCGAATTATATCAAAAATTTGAAAATAGAAACATCAAACAGCTACAGAAGTTTTTTAAGATTGGCAGAGTTTTCGAAACCAGTCAGATAAACGAATTGTTCCAAGTGTTTAAAAAGATTAACATTACTAAATGTGCTGTAAAGTAGTCAGTCTATGGATAATTGGTGCGATCTCAGTTTATGAGGGAGACGAATTGAATGCCAACACTCACATTCAACGGACACGAGATTATAAAAGCAAAAGTTACTGAAATGCAGGCAGTAATATAATAACATTAAACTGTTAGAACGAGATGCTAAGACGACGTCAGTCAGGTGACATTATGACGTTTGGTGGTATACTGGTCCAACTTGCGCTTAAAAGCCTCGACGGAGGTGGAAATGAAGACATCTGCAGGCACAGCATTTCAAGCCTCGATCAATCTATTGGAAAAGAAGAACTTCCGAATGTCCAGCCTGGCGCCAGTCACACGTAGTTTAAGTGAATGACCTCGGAGGTTCGTTGTGGTTGCAAACTCAAAGAAATCAGCAGGTAAGAGACAGCAGTCGTGGCCGCGCATTATACTAGGTTCAGGCACAGACCTTCCTTTTTCAGTAGCAAAATCATCTTTGGCTTGTACAACAGTCGGTATTGCTAAGCAAATTAAGTTTAATCTATTTTATCTAGCCGATGATAGGCAAGAATTTGATACTATATGGGAAGAGGTGCACGTTGGTTAATCGGCTTACAGATGCATAAAACCTCCGCCACGGAAGTGGCAGAGGTCAAGGGCGGGCAACCACCCGTCAGGCTGAAATCCGCCAAGACTTGATAGCAGAGGTACTGTTAAAACATATGTCTGTGGATTGACAGAGCACTACTTCGGGCTCGTTCTGTCTTCACTAATAACCCCGGCCAACATCCGGCAGCAGAAGCAAACGTGTGCACTCACGAAGCGCAGATGGTCCACAGACGAGGTTCGTCCACCAGATGGAGCATTTACTAACACAGGATGGGGCGCAGAACTATGCACTTTTTTCCCGCAACAAACAAGCCCTGAAAAGCCGTTGATGTTATTAGATGAATGAAGGCAGAATAAGGCCGAGGCAGAGTTGTATCAATCTACCCCTATATATCTCCACCCCTTCTGTCGAAGCGAAACTGCTGTAGATGATAGGACGTAAGCGAAAAGAAAGGTGGAACAATTGGTGTATTACCCTGGGGGGAGGGAGGGACAGCAAGCCGGTGTCATAAACGCTGTGCGATACCACGAAAATTTAGTGGGGATCGTATCCGGAATTTGATGGCACGGACAAGTCAGTCTTGGTCAAAAGAGTCAGAGGAATCAATAAGTAAATGCCCCCTGTGAAGAAACGCAACAAACTGCAGGACACTCTGGGGGAGGGGTCAAAAATTTACGATGCTCCCCAGCGGTAGTTTGGTGATAAGCAAACAACTTGCTCGTGTGAATTACATGTCAACTGACATATTTTGAGATTCTGGTGGATTCTCTGACCTCAGTTACATACGCACCCCCAAAAAGCGCTAAATTAGGTGTGCATGTGTTTTGTCCTGACAGACTGTTTGAAGGCAAATTTGGTCGAAAAACAACTCACTTATCGTCAGAGGCCTCTTGTGATAATGGCTAAAACGGAGAAGGAAAACCTAGTCAGACAACAGGGACGAGTCTGGGAGTTCCGATAGACAAACAGTCAGATATGTATCTCTGTCAATTAGCAAAAGCTGAATAAATCAAGTGTCCGGAAACAGCTGAGTGCAAAATTTTACCTTCAGAACGACAGCGACGGTTTCGGGACCGGTCTGTGGCCGAGGTTGGTCCTTATGTATTTCTGTCTCTACCGCCGAGGACGAGACGGTGGAGCCTTGTGTGTTGGAGGAGCAAATAAGGTTGTCTTTAAGGTCCGTCGGGCTGGAACGCCTCTTTTCTGCAGTGAATTGTGAATTGCTGTTGGCCTGGGGTTCCTCATCGAGACTGGAAAGGTAAAAGCGCTTTTAATGCGCGTTGTCTTTGGCAAAGGTGGGCGCTGGCGCCTGAGCGTGCACCTACAGCTTGTCTCACCCAAAGTGTCTTTCTACGCCACAATACCAAGCATACATCTTGGTCTATGGCGTCACCCACCTGATAAATTTGATTCTCAAAAATAAAACGAGTGAAGCCTTCCGGCAGCGGCTGCATAGTAGAAGCATATTTGGCATTACAGCTTGTGGCTTAAGTATACTACGACAGATTTGCGTCTCGTGTCTTCACGAAAATTTTAATAATTCTGTCGAATATTTGAAGCCACCCCTTAAACCAGCGACGAAAGCAGCTATAAGTGAATAGTCCGATGAGTCGAACTGTCACAGTCCATAGCAAAGGGAGTCCGAAACCCCCATCCCCGTGAAATTACGCGGGTCCGGTTTTTTCCATAAACAAAAACATGTCTCTTAGAAAGCAGCACTTACCTCCCTCTTTACTTTGAACAATGTAACTGAGGTCTTTTAAATAGGCCAGGCTACAGTTACTACGCGAGTTGAATTCCGAGATCTAAGCTCAAGGTTTTCGTGACAGCTTCTGAAATTTCACCTTTTCACACCAAATATTGAAGGAAAAAAAAGAAACCAAAACAAGACTGATTGAGAAATAAGAGGACTACGCATCAGTGTAAAACTGTTGGAAACAAAATTTTAGGTCACCGCCTTGGATGGATTTCAGCAGACCGAGGGCGCAAGAGTTAGTTAACATAAACTACTATGCCCTTTAAAGTAGGCAGTTAGAGCGCAGGTTGTCAATTCACGGGAGCCCACCACCTCCCGCTGCTAACAGATCTACCTGTCCAGCGTCCCCAAGAAACGCGGGGTGATTCGGCGGCGCCCATCCTTCGTACGAACTTCTGTCTGACTCGTGGGCTACAAAGTATAAAAAAGTACCTGACTAAGCGAAAAAGTGTTGAAGAACTCCGTCAAAGAGAATTAAATTCAACACGATCGTCCCCGATAAATGAGCAAAAAAGGATCCTCGAACACCACCAGTTAAATAGAGCCGCGGCGCAAATTTGAGCAAGCGGAGAAGGTACTAGGCGAGTGTGATGAGTTAAGTTACGGTAACCGACAACCCAGAAAAGTTCCAGAGTTCAATGACGGCACTGTAACATGGCAGGCGAGAACGGCCATTAAATTAGTCCTATCCACATACGTTAATTTGCGGGCCTGCTCTCCATCTACCGGGCGAGTGACGGCCAGGGGATTCCACTTGTCTCAAACCTCTGAACCTCGACTTTCTACAAGTCTCACATGCCGAATTACAAATCATGATACGGGACTCACGGTAGCAAACAAGACAAAATATAAACAAAACGCATTAGTTGCGTTATATTCGGAAACAACACTTCATAGAGTGAATATTTTCACAGGAAATAAATCCGGCTGATTCGAATCCACAAGGCACTGAGAATATCGAAGACGGCCCAGGTAGAGATTATGACTGTCACTGTGATTGTTTGACGATCTTGTGTGGATGTCCTGCAAGGGGAGATAAGAGTCTCCCTAGCATTCACAGGTTTTGGTTGCTTTAGTGACTCAGTCTGCAATTTGAATTTGCCTACTTAATCTTATTTATGGGAACAGTTAAGTGTAATTTGCCCCTGTTATTACAATTATGGAAGATAAAACATCTTGGCTAACTTAAAGTGACTAAAAGGAATTTGACCTACTGGACAAACGCCGACAAATCCGCCCACAACTCGGCATCCTGTGCGGTCAGGACTGTTGTCTTGCATCTGGAGGCTTCTTCGAGTTAACAATCGCAACGAGCAGGCGAGGTCATCCAGCCAGACTACGTGTGACTGGGGCCAGGTTGGGCATACGGAAATTCTTTTCCTCCAACGTGGTGGTTTACGCTCATGATGCTCTGTCTGAGGACGTTGTTTAGATTACATCCGTAGAGACTTTTAAGAGGAGGCTGGATCAGTGTGGCGGTACGCACTACAAGACCACCCCGACCGGTCGTCTTGAAGACATACGCAACGAATTCATTACGGTTCTAATACTACTGTGAACGTTTAAGTAAGGTTTGTTTATGACATCGTCTTATTATCACGAAACCCAGCGCACACCCACTGACATTCACCATGGTTTTTGCAGAGCATTGGGATCGAGCTACTTTCTTCGGTAGTACATTAATACATTAACTATTGTACGGCGCATCTACATGCGCATATATGTGTATATCCGTAAGTGCTGATTACACTTTAACTAGCTTGTTTATCCGTACAGACCGCTCCTAGAACACTGCGAAGACATCGACTATCTGAGGATGCAGTATTGGCCTGCGCGTTATTGAGGAGCACCGACATCAGCATATTCTTCCACATGTGAGAGATGATCTAGACCGATGAGGACCACCAGTCCCGAACAGGGTGCAGCGGTCACTTGCGCGTGAATTTGTTTATGGCGAGGTAAAATCGCGTTGTACCCAAATTACTTCACTTTTTTTCCACGTCCATGTTCCAATGGGAGGACAGGGTTCAAACGACCGGAGGTGTGCGTAGGAGCAGTGTGTAACATGTAAACGGCCAATCTGCCTGTGATGCACAAGTTGGTCCTAGCTCCAAACGCACCAATTTCTATGGAGAAAGGTATGTCGCACCTCACACACGTTAGCGTCATACAGACTAAACTAATGGCAGCCTGACGCTCAGTCCTGAGTGGGGCCTACTCGCCCCGACAGTTTTTCACCTTCCAACGCAAGACTAGTAGCACCTCATTATGGTTTTAGAGTGCATTTGACTGTTCAGAGTGAGGAACCGCGCCCTGGATATCAGCTGAACCGACATGACCATCTTTTCCCTCTCCCATACACCAGCGGGCTGTCTGAATCAGGCTGCGTGGAAATGAGATTGGTCGCAATGGCCTGCAGGAAGTCGCCGTCTGTCCCAAGTCACACTCGGGCTTGAATCTTACAGAACTAAGATGCCCTATAAAGGCCATAGTGAGGACCGACCATTGCAGTTTGGCCCTCGCTGTAGAGGAGGACCGAGTTAACTCGTCAGCCGGAAACCTCCCAAGCGACAACTTTCAGCACGTCCTAATAGACTCAAGTACGTCAGATGTATCAGAATGATGAATGCTTTGGTTTGTCATGAGGATGCGTCACTCTCCAGAAGTGGCCTCACCCGAGCTGTCAGCCGACTGGTGCCGTGAGTAAACGCAGTGGCAGAAGTGACATCTGCCTTCGCCTGAAGTGTGTGCCAGCGGCTAAGGATTCATGCAGACGCTGTGCAACCCGACAAACCCACGCCATAGGCCAAGGTAACAGCCCATTTTTGTCCAGTCCACCCGCAGTACAATCCCCCTAGGAGACGCGCGCACACACCTGAACTGGTTTCTCGGCGGAGCCATTGCTGCTGGCGGTCGCTTCGCAGGATTTCAGTCCGTCCAGCTTCACGCGCAACTCGGCCTGAGAGCGCTGTAAAGCCAAGGCCTCGGGAGTCTCGAGGAGGACAGGTGTAGAGGCAGCGCCGGCGACACCGGTGACACCCACTTTGGTGACACCCTGCGGGCCCTCACCTGTTAGGGGCAAAGTGCTGTTGGCGGACAAGCCATCAGAGGAGAGGGTATCCAGTAGGCTTTGACCGTAGGTCTTTCGGTGTATACGTGCCTTCAAGGGAACGGAAACGGACAAGTCTCTGGAATAAAACATCTTTGGGAAATAATCTAGTTCTTAGGTATGTCCGTGCCCCTTCTGACTTCTATCTTTGCCTAGAACAAAACGTTTGAGATTTTCCCAACTACCGCTGAGGGTTAGACTTTATTTTACCCCTCAAAGACCTCGTTTTCCATATTCTGTCAATATTTTTTGCCAAATTCTCGGCCTACTTTAAACTACCTCAACTTTGTACCGGGCCCTTTATGGCCGTCGTTTTGCAGAACAGGCGCTGGAACGTGTGTAAACACTTACAAAGTAACGTTGGATGATTAGTTCAGCATTCAAAAGTCTTGTTTCAATTTTCTACAAATTGACACTCGCAAAGAATCTGGCACAAAGTTCAGCCGGTTGGACGTCGGCCTAGATGTTGGAAAAGGTATAAGCCTAATGGCAGACGGAAAACGAAAGGGTAAAGCAAAGTCCACACTTCAGTGGAAATTGGAAAAATTTTAAATTTGCGTTCTGGGGGAAAGGTAGAGGGTAGTTGGGCGGTCCTCTGAGTGAATTGCCTACCTAGAAACTTTATGGCTCAAGAGTTTTTCCAGAGGTAAACAATTCCCTTTTGATATGCATTTGTTTACAGTTCAAACAAATATAGTCGTGGTGGGTTGTTGCCGAGGTGTCTTTTAATAAACTTTAAGTACACAGTCACTTAAAGATGGTAATCGCTTCTAATTGGATGCTACTGGAGACATAGGCAAGTCGAAGTCAAATATTCGCGAGTTTCTCAATGCAGGATCGTGAAAATCGCATCAAATGTTATGTAAACCTGGAAAGGCCTCCCATCGAACAGTCCCACACCGAATTACTGTGCTATAAAGAAGGCACGCCGTCTACTTTTCAAGCGGACTCTCAATGGCTCATTTCCTCACTGTCTACATTCGCGGAGTAGGAGCATCGATTGTTGGCTTTCAAACCCTGGCCTCCAACGCGCAAACCACACTTCACTCAGTCATTCCCTCTGATTATGGGCTGTTATTAACATCCTAAAGAGTTACAAGTGAAGGTCTGGATTTTTAAAACGTCTCTAACACCTTCCCGGAATATCTGTCACTGCAGAAATATGACGTAGTTAAGGTACTACTTAAATTATTATACTCTCACTGGAGTAGAAAATGAGTTACTAGCCTTGACTACTGCGGAACCGAGAATGTCCTCAACTATATTCAATGAAAAAGACATCGGGCAAAAAACCAAAGAAATAATCGTGCCGCGAGGCACGCTTTGCATACAGTTTTCTAGAAGGCCTGTGTTTAGATACCTCTGCAGACCCCTTCGACCAAACTACTACTCACGGAGAATTCGTAATAGAACTTGAAGCTGTAATTGCAACCCTAGAAAAAGCTGTTTAATACCATAAAAGATGTTTTCTTGTGTCGGTAGCGAACAAACTCACCACTTCTGACATCTGTAACGGTTCCCCAATCTCTTCTGACGTGAAGGCCATGTAAGAGACGGAGCCATCAAGAGAGCAGGCCAGTAATTCCTTTCCATCAGAGCTCCTTCAAAACAGAGGCCAAGAACGAATGCATCAGTATACGCAACCAAACTGTATTATCGAAAAGATGCTGAATTAAATGAACGGTCGGTGCTGAACGCAGAGAAAGTGCCTCTGGTGCCGTTGAAAGCAAAGTAACTCTAATTATAATACATCAGTGAGAGAGGCGTCCCTGCTAAAATGACGACACGTGCGTGCTACTGAATTTATTTGTATTTCCGGTCACAGAACAAGACAGAAAGCCGATACGGAAAGGTGACACGCGGTGGTGATATGGTGAAGAATTGCAGTAGATCAGCTGGTGATGTCAGAATGCCTATAACTCGGACTGTACAACATCACTCACAATTTAAATTGGGTTCATACCGCCCAACTTCACATAGGCAAAAAGATAGTTCCCACAACACGACTCAGTGACGTTTAGCCTCAAATCCTACCAGCCATCCGCTTGGTCTGCATACAGCGGGTCAGCGATGTCCTCAATGGATCGTAGACTTTCACCAGATTGGGCACAGTACTAAGCACGGTATTCCCTCAGGCAAGTATGTATGAATTGGTGGTCAAAGCCGCGCTCTTAGTACAAACTAATAGAAAACCGTCATTGCACCTGCCATCTTTCCCATCATCCTACTTTTGGACGCAGGACAGAGGCAACAAAAGTAACAAATAATAAATGACCTACCAGGTGAGATCGCTCACGGAGTTGGTGAACAGATCGCGGATCACTAGAAAGGCACGACGACCAAGAGTTGTCTAAAAGAAAAGAAGTGATGGGAGAGAGGTGGTCTAAAGATCACAAGAAAAAAGGATCAAACGTTCCAGCAGTGAGGGATGCAACTTACCCACACTGAGACAGATCTGTCCTTGCTGCCCAAAGCAAGGCAAATCATGACCTGTGGGGAAAGAATAAAAGATGAGTGGTTAGACTGTAGGCCGCAAGAATGTCAACGCTTTTAAAGGCCTTTAAAAGCACAGCGCTAGTGGGGCAAGCGTAAGAGTCAAAAAGGGGAGACGATAAAATACATACCGAATGGCCTGTAGTCGTCGATTTGCGTAGAAGGTTTGGATTGTATCGCTGCATGAAAAAACAACACTAGGTTATTTGTCGGTAGAAAAGCAGTGCATGTATCCATTCCGCAGTAGCCAAGGGAAATCGTGGATTTGTGTTAATAGCATATGGAATAAATCTGTTAATTGATATGTTCTGCAGCAGTTCTCATGGTGGTACATAAGCTTGTAGCGATCTGCTCAGCCTTCACTAAGACCGATTTGAGGAAAGACAGTTTTTGAAAAAGTGGACGATACTCAAGTGACAGGAAATAGCATGTTATTGAAGACCCTATAAATTGTGCTCCGAAAAATTAGTTCATTCTTCTTTTCTACATTTTCGCTTTGTTCTACGAATGCTACAGACTAACTTTAAAACTAAAGAGGAAATTCAAACCAGACGTGAAAAGTTTTGAGCGTACAAAACTCCTTTTCAGCGTACAAATCGCCTTCCCTTTCAATACGTCCTAATTCCCTGGAATTCCTCTTTTTATACAGCTCTGAAAACAACAAACGAACTGCCGCGATCAAACTTGAACGCTTACGTACGTAATTTTATGATGAGATGTAATATTCTCAAAAATGAACACTGAACATGAATGTCTACGCAAATGCACGTTTGCGTTAGAGATACTGTCGAATCTTCAAACATGCCGACCTAAAAATGTAGCACAATAAACATAGGACACAGTGTCTCTTCCAGAGTAGAATGCATCATTGAAAACAAGTAGCCAATGTGAGTAAAGAGCTCCTAAAAAGTGCGCTTACGGGAGGAGGTGCAAGGACGCAGGAGTTTTGGATACAAAATAACTCCGAATACAGGGCAAACAGGACTTATCGAATGCTTGGAAGCAGAGTACAGCGCACGAAGTAAACGAGTTAACTAACTTAAAAAGTGTAGCCAACTTGTCTTCTGTCAAACAGGCTTCTAACGACAAACATTACCGGCTTGTTCGAATATTTAATGCAGTCAGGTCTTGGCGAACTGACGTTTCTTCGATGACATTCTTCATTAATGTATGAGGGTCCAGCTACAAACGGGAACACATGGTCTCCATTCAGAGGCTATTTATGGTCCTTGGGCAATGTCATCTTGTTTAACAAGGGAATATGCGACGAAGAACGGATTGGAGGCATTGCTGGCTTTTACCCTTCAACCGCCCTAGCCGTCGGTACTGTGAACCCGACGCCTTGCGTGCTAACCCTAACACGCTTAGCCCTTGATTTCTGAAAGGTTACACTACCCAAACCCAAGGGACCGCTTACAAGCGAGATTCCTCAGCGAGATTTAAATCAGCATTCACGCTTACAAAAAAACCACAAGCTTGTGTTCAAACTCAAGCTTTCCTTCAAATGGACGCGTGAAGAAAGGAGGAGTGGACTTACCGCACAAACCACATGCTTTTCGTGTCCAACCAGGTCTAGTCCTGGATGCCAGTGATTACGATTGATGAGCTGAGCGGTGGGGAATCGATTGTTAATGGCATGAGGTGCAACGATTACCGACCCATCTGGGCTCCACGACAGTCGAGTCACCTGGCTCTGATCAGATGCCTATGAGGTAGCAAAAAAAGAAAGGGGCACGAAGTCGGGGAATTTTCCAAAGTTAATGGGAAGGTTCTGGAAATAAAGTGATGATTAATTGACTCTGGTATTCCCACTAATTTATTCCTCGTTTTCCCCCCATACGGTGGCGGAATTGAAACCTGGACAGCCTGACATGAAACGACTGCTCAGGCTAACAAAAAGCAAACTGAGGCTACCGAAAAATGTTTGGCAGTTAGAAAGACATATTACCTTGAAAAGTACGTTTAATGCCACATGGGTGTCTCTAACTCTAAATGGAACCTTCAGAAACCCATGTGGGATATGGACTACCTTCGAGACGGCATTGAAACAGCCCGCTTTATTTGTGGTATGTTCTTAGGGGAGTAGGACAGTTTCTAACTCACTTGTAAATAAACGTTTCATCGAAGGGTAGGAGTCCATAACCGTGCATAGAAAAGTCGCGCGCCTTCTAGTTTTTAGAAGATGAAAGTCTGAAATGTCCCTTTCAGGGACCTTCATCCTCTTATTCAACTGCGATGTGGCCTCCAACATTACCAGTTTACTTTCACAACAAGGAACTCAGACACCCAGCAGTTCTCACAATTGCATTTTTCGAGAGTGTAAAACCAGATTTGGACGGCTTTTAGGGCCGATTGGTTCGTCTCAACTCGTTTTTCGCGTAATCTTTTGCACTTTTGTGGGCAGAACTCGCTAGGTTGCTGCTCGCGGCCAGCACTGTGTGCGTATGTAGGATGACTGGCTGAAGGACTGAGTGGGGATTAGTGGCTCCTCCTTCATGTGGTCTTTATGGCACTATTATTGACATGAGATCTGAGCCTTCCCACCAAAGTCTGACAGATGATGTGGGAACCAGGTCGTGTGTGACACGCATAGATGGGCTGTCTAGCTTAGTCAGCCACTGCGTCCGAGTCAGCCTCCTGAGTGAGGTGGGTGAGGGAGGAGAGAGTGTGTGTGTGGTCTGCCTCATTCTGCAGGAGGCACGAAGGACATCACCATTCACAGCGGTCGAACTCAAGTCCCAACTCTCTTTCCGCACAGGTCGCACGAATGAGGCGTATGCTTGACAAAATTGACCGAGAAATTGATCGCGAGACCCGACTTGTGCGCAGGCGCGTTGTCGTGGTACAGGAATCACCCATGCAATTCCGTCGCGGGGGGTGATTCCCAAGCAGAACAGGGAGTACTTTCTCCAACCCTACTCTAGCACACCAATTAGACGTCTTAGTCTGACCTTCACCCATGCCCAACACCAAAATAATTTCTTCTCGAACAAAAACAGTTGCGACGGCCACTTTTTGGGAGTGGCCCCCCAACCTCTAGCAACTCTGTGATTCTGGATTTTAGATGGAGGAATGGGGTTTTAAAAAGCGTACCTCGTTATAGAAATAAACCACGGAAATGCCTCATAAATTTTTCTTTCTGCCTCAGTCATCTATTAAGCGATACATTATGCGAAGCACCAATACGTGCACTAACTTGATTCAAACACTCCGTAGGAGCATTTATAAGGGAAGACAAAGAACACCACTGGGAAACATGACATCAGCATTCTTTTAGTCATAAAGTAGTCCACTGACGTTTCGGATCCCTGCCCGAACCCATCATCGAGACAAAGGCAGATGCGTGCCTGCTTTTTGTCTTTGATGATGGGTTTGAACAGGAATCTACCTTATTCGACGCGAGGCAAACAGTGGCCATTCTTGTAGACCGATGCAGCGACAAGTCGCTTGGCTCGGGTGACGTTTCAACACTGCCCACAGAGCCGGAAATTCAATAAACGACAATCTGCTAGAAAAATAAAAGAAATCATTGATTCGAAAGTGCTAGCTGAAATATATACCCCTAGCTCCTAATTCAGCATAAACGGGCAATGATTGACAATCCTCGGGTCCTTATTTCGTCTATGACAGCTGTAGGAAGGGATTTCACAGCACATCAAAACGATGTGCTTTGACAATGCAGAGCGTAAGTTGTTACCTTGACAAACGGCTTGCTGATCTTCGACTCCTCCTGCCAATCGGATACACGCCAGACGCGGACACCGAGGCCTTCAGCTTGGGTGGCCAAGTACCGGCCGGCGGGATCCCAGGCGACACCCTTGACTGGTCCGCCGTGGCCACGAAGCGTGGCGATGCACTGGAAGGGCGATGCTGAGGCCGTACTGGGAGTGCCCTGAGATGGGCCCCAGATTACGACTGTGTTGTCTACACTGCAGGAGGCCAAACGGAGGCCATCCTGGGCCCAGGCTATGTCGATTATGTCTGAAACACAAGACAGGAGTCAGATAAGAATAAAATGTGCATACGTCTTGCGGCGCGGCGACTGAGGCATAAGTCTGCCATCAGCGGAACCGAACTCCTGCACCTCTTCTCATCTATAGTCTGGGGCGGTCAGGGTCAGATCGACACAAGACTTTAAAATTTCACATAGGTAATCAGGATAATGCAACCAAGTAAGACGTGCGTGGTATTAAGGTGTCCATGAACACCCAGAAACATAAGTTTCCAGGGTGTGAAGTTAAGATGTTCGGATGGCATAAAAGGAGATTGAAATTTACAAAAGTAGGCTAACTAGTAATAGACAATAGTTCAAATAAGATTCCGAGGTATTTTATAAGGACACGAAGGTGCTTTCGGCATTAGAAGTACATTTATGGTCTACTGTTTCAAGTAACGAATTCGGCATTGTCAATATAAGTAACGAGATTGATGAGGCATGCGAGCTGCACACAGGACTCACCAGCTTTTGAAGATGGACGGCCGAATTTTCGGCCTGAAAGACTGCACTAAGATTATAGATTTTTTCGCCAAACGCATGATGTAATACCGGGCTGAATGCTACCAGCAATGGTGGTCTGTCCGGAATAGTCTAAACATCATATCGCAAGTGACCTGGGGAGTTTTGTATGACTTATTCCACCACCCTAAGCCATGTTTAATGTGCACTAAACGATACTGGAGAGACGAGACGGGATGGTGTGCAAGGTTGAAATACTATTGATCGAGACAGTCTAATCATAAAAGTGGCGCAAAATGGGAATTCTCCAAAGGACGAAAATAGTAGCATCATAACCAATGCGAAAAGAGTAGCAGGGAAAAGAAGTACCTCCGGTGTGATGACGCAGGACTGTCGCACACCGCCAGTGTTCCGTAAACTTCATCTTTTCAGTAGCCCCGAAGATAGCACTGGCTCGGGCACCCGCGCTAAATAAAGAATGCCAGATATTAGTATAAATTTTGCCCAAATTTGAATAAGTGGCTCAAGCTGTGGGTGCCGCACCCTTTGACTATTGGCCACATGCAAGTGTGCTAGAACGGTTAAGATGAAGAGATGGGGTGTTCTCGCTAGTCTCATGACAATCATATCAGACGTGTCAGACAAGAATCCCCAAATTGCTCAACTGTAAACTTCCTTTTGGCTACAGATTGAGGTATTTTTGATCTAGGAATATTTTCAGGTATGAATTGCGAACGCAAAACCGGTAATTTTTCAGGGAACTTAAGTGTACGTCTGACGTATGAACGAAAAACCATGAATTAATAATGTTATTGTAAGGCCATAGTCACGAGAATTTCCGTCATCAAGACAACGAATATGACCCAATGCAACCCACCCCAACTCCAAAAAAACAATGCAACGGGAGCTGGTTCGTAGTCGCCTTATTCCTTAAGGGATTCCGAAAAAAATGTCTCGATGTTTTCACGATAAAACCGTAAGATGGCAAACAAGACTGACGCCAAGTATTTCAACAGTATCTTTTACCAGGCTAGTGTGACTTGGCGTCACGAAGACAGCAGGCATCTGTACATCGGTCGAACAAATTAAGGAAAAAGCACATTATGAATAGTCCTGTAAATCGTGTTAGTAAGTTTGTTAACGAGAACGCGACCGCCTTCTGTTCATAAATAATATACTCGTGTCACGCGACGGATATTGGGCAGCTGGTTTAGATATTTAGCTAAAAACAAGCTAACAGATTGATACACTTTACTCATCAAACTGTATGAAACCGGTCGCGATTTAAATTTTGACAAGCTATTTACCCTTACTGACGTCAGAAATGCTGATGAAAAATATGTTACAGAATAGGAAGTTTTATTTACTAACCACTCTGAATAATTTTCTCCGCAAAGGAGTATCGAGAACCGCAAAAACTTCGCTCAGGAAGAATGTTATTTGGAGTCGTCTGATTTATCAACATCCTCTCAACAGACTGTATGTAACCCGTGCAAGTGTTCCATAATTGACGGGGTATTTTGTGACACAACTGGCAATAACAGTGGTTTTGTTAATAATTTTTATTTACTCTTATAAGTAGTTTGCCCGGATATGCATGTGGCATATTTGATATGCACGCAGTATAAGTCGAAGTATGCAGTTGTCGGTCCCCATAACTTAAACGGATCGAAGAGAAAACTTGTGAAAGTTGTTGGCTGGATTGCGTCCTACCGATCAGCCTTAGTATGTTTACACAAAGCAAATACTGAGGAGCATTTTCAGCTTAGCATACCGAGTGCTCGTTCGGTCAAATAGTGAATTAAATAAAATGGCAAAATCCGTCTCACATTAGTGAAAGCAGCCCTGGTTATATTTCTACCGTAGGCACTGAAGTTTACGAAACAATGACCAAAATGTCTTCATGCGCTTCCAAGTAGAGACGAGTACTTCAGCGTGGTATCAAGACTAGTTATTATTATTATTATTATTATTATTATTATTATTATTATTATTTTCAGAGTTTCAGCTATTACTATTATCACAGAAAATAGTTCTAAGTAGATTGCTACACAGTGGTGAGGTGGTTGTCGACTGGACTACTATCCACTGATTAATGTAAATTACAGTCTGAAAGGCACCATATCAGTGACGTCCATTTTAAAATCGATTTGGAATACCTGTATAAAGGCCATCACATTTCATAGGAGGGACGTACAAAACTCGTCAAAGATACCCATTTTACAACCACGTCATCCTTAGAAAATAAAAACTACTTTCGCAAGTTTGCCAACATTTGTGTATTTCAAAACAGAACTGGGGTTTCAACCTGATTGCTAAGTTTTCTAACTAAGGCCTATGAAGATATGTCTCCATAAAGCTGCATAACCATATGGTGGAAGGGAGCTCGCCGACCGCGTTACAGAACACGCTCGCTCGCTGTGCCTTGGGGTTAAACCTTTAACCGCACCGGCAACTGCTCAGCAGTTAGCATTAGACGCACAATAACATTACCGACAAGGACAAGAGGGACTGAAATAGCCATTTCTGGCTTATATGTTGACACCAGTCAGCCATAACCAATTGCAAGCCTGTCCAATCCCTGAGGCTCGAACCCATAATCTGCTGGTTGAAAGCGCAATGTCTTAACCCTTGAGCCATGGGCTCGCTGTCCTGTCGGTTGCGATCAGGCTTAAAAACAACGGTAGAGGGAAGCTCACCGATTGCACTACAGGACACATTCGTCCCGTTGCGTCAACAGGCCGCGGGTTCGGGTCTCAGAGGTTGCGAAAACCAGTGATTGGGTGTGGCTGGCTGATGACGGTTAATAAGGTGGAAATCGACATTCCCGCCTCCACTGTCCTTGTCGGCAATGCTACTCTGCATATTCATGTGTTGTGTTGGTTCATATCCTCTTCTGCACTTAAACACGCACGGTTTCACGAACACCATGGGGGGCAGTTCGTGTACAGAAGGACTTGTTAAAAAAACCGACCAGATTTGTGTTTAAATGTAGCACCGACTAAGCGCAGAAAACAGACCAGCTTTAACCCTTTTATTCCCCTTTTGGCGGACAGCGAAGATGAGGCTGTGTGAAGCAGTGCAATTACGGTGAATTTCGACATTCGGCAAAGCCTTCTACGAAGCTAAACACGCATGTATGTAAGATGGTACAATGGAGCGAGTACGTCCCTCAAACTGATCGGTGAGCACCCCTCTACCATAATACATATTCGCGACTACAAAAGACAGGACAACAGGCCCGTGGCTCAGTGATAACGCGTTCAAATCAGGAACTAAAGGCCCCGGGTTCGAATCCCAGGTGATCCGCACCGGAGACTGGGTACGACTGACTGATGACGGCTAACAAGCTGGAAATGGTCGTTCCAGTCTCCCATGTCTTTGTCGCTCCACCTTATCTACGCATACAACTAGTCGCCATCTGACTGCCTGATAGAAGTCGAGTTTTATCCCCGAACGGACAACAGGATGAGCACATTCCGTAACCTGATTGGTGAGCGCAACTCTATCATAATACATGTACATTTCCACATAGTTTTCAACACTAAAAGGCAACAGGAGTAACAAAGACACATACGAAGTTTTGACCCAGACCATGACGACACGGTCCATGCCACCAGAAGCTAGCCACCGACCAGTGGGAGACCAACGGACGCAATTTACACATGCTAAAATGCAAGCAGAATGTAAAATCAGTTCTAAATCCGATGAATACATGACAGCTCACAATTATGTGCGGTTAATAAATCATAAGTTAAAAGAAGAAAAGACCTCAGATACATCCTCTACAAACTGTGGTCATATACAAGAACAACCTTTTGCAATCTGTTGCGTTTAACTGACTTTGCTGGGTTAAATCAGTGCAAGCATCTCCTGACTGGATACCTCTCAGAGCTCGAAACGAAAAGTAGTAATAAAACATCGCGTCGACACGGTGGAAAACAACAATGAGGGGGGCAAAGGAAGTGGCACATTAATCCAGAGGACTGCAAAACCCGGCTTTTGCGGCATACTTGGAACAAAATGTCGATAAAAAACAGCAGCAATTGGCAGATGTGCATAGGCTGAATTATTTTTTCAGGCGGTACCCTGATGATTATCCATTTGGAAGAGTCTTTGACATGTTGAGGATTTTTCGAGACTAGGATCCCGTATCAGCGACATGTCCCACAGAATTATCAGTCCGCCACCGTCCGTCAGACCGCCAGTAGCAAGCCGCTTTCCATCTGGGTGAATATCGAGGGTGTAGATTGGACGCACTAAATTGTTTGGGAGAAAGGACTATTAATGCGGGTTTAAGGTTGGCCAAGTTAACGCAAAAAGACCGGTATTTCACTCACAGAATGGGCCAGTTTTTGAAGTTTTACCATGCGTCACCCAGTGAGGCTTAAGAAGCCGCATCTCTGTAGAAAGATAAATTAGGTTTAGATGCAGTAAATTAATGCTGTAAGAAAAGAGCAAGCCAGAAGGCAAGAGAAAGCAAAAAATACTGTCCTGACCAAGGGCATGCAAGTAATACGTGCATCAAGTTATACGACCACCGAAGCCGCTTAGTTGTTCACAGGTGGATATTCAGCTAAATTGCTCAAGTCTGTCGAAGCATACACAAATTTATTAAAGATCCACTTTGCTCATATGCAGCAAATGTCAACCGCAAACGATGTTAACGACTTTTAAATGAAACAATGCGCAGATTTCCAAAAGAGTCTCTAAATTAAGTATCTCCACTTTTGCAAAGAAGTCGCCACCATATGCACACTTTTCCTGTTGGCTAACCAATCCTAAGATTCCAGAAAATCGTCTTCTATTGAGAGGGAAATTATACCGAATAAATAAACGTATAAGAATATTTGAATATGCATAATATGTATTATCTGTCTTGATGACTCAAGACAAATATGAAAAATGATGTGTTGTGGGATAACAGTAACAATAAAAAAGTCGTCGGACGTAGACTGTCAATTGAAACAGTCAACAGCTCGAGGAAAATGCGCTAACCATTGCCATGCGGTAAAAGGGACGTACGTATCAACGTCACACATACATATGATGCCTGAGTGAGCCAGCACCTGATAGCATTTAGTCGCCCAGGGCTAGACATTTGCTAGCCCGTTTGACTTGCGGCTAGTGCAGACGTAGTAACCTGACTGGCTAGATCTGTGAGAGGAAAGTAGCTTTTCTGCTACACCCCCTCCTTGATGCTCACCAGAGTGCACTTTCCACGTCACGTCTGGGGGGTCCTTTTGCGCGTACGCAGGGACTTTGTCCGGAATTTAGGCCTCAGGCCTAAAACGCTCTCAGCTCGCCTGAGAAGGCGCGACAACCTACTGTCCCCATGTGGATTGCTGAGAAATCCAGTCGGTCGCAACACTAGCCCGCGACCGGGCTGGGCCTGTGCGAGTAAAATGCTATCAGGGAACTATTTTTTGCAAAAAATAGTTCCCTCGGCAACAGTAATGACCAAAAATTTCGTGAAGCTTGTTGCACCTAACTGCGATCATTGCAAAAAACCTACCCAAGTCGTTTGCCTAACTGCACTCCGATCATAGTATATTTACGTAAGTGACTTGGTGGCTCTACCAACTTTTCAGAGCGTTCAGCAGAAAGGAATACTCTACCCTGACCGACAGACTGCTGCGAGTGCACACCACTTTATCTATACAGTGTTTCTACCACTCTAGGTTGACTGAAGTCAAGTTTAAAACATTTACTCGTGAAGATGAACAATGTTCACTTCGCTGAATCGGCGGAATCACAAAATGACCCAGACAGTACCCAATGCCCAATTGGCCAAAATATAAGGATCATTTTCAAATTCGGTGTTCACGACTGTAGCTCTACAATGTCACAAGTGTAGGGCTTGATCAATTATCCGAAGACTTCAGGATATATTTATTTTTTTGGCACTAGTGTAGCGGCCAAGGACGCCAGGTAAAGCACACACAGGGGTTGCGAAGCCCTGGGAGAAAACCTGGAAAAGACTGACCTGAATAGGGTCGTCAACACGTTACATTACTCATCCACACGAAGGGGAAGAATAAACGCTAGGTTGTCGTAAGGGTATAAAGGGAAGAAATTGAAACTGGCTTTACATATAAAAGTGATTTATTTTAAAAACGAGATGAGATGCAGAAAGGAATTGACCTGGCTGCACATCGAGGGGACACTGACATGCCTGTTAAACAGCCAGTGGATAACGCAGCGCGGAGGTCAGTAGCAGGGTAGGTCCCGACGTAAACAGAACGGGAGAGGCAAATGTTTCGGTGAGTTTCGGATAGGGAATCGGCGGTAAACAGTTGGAAGGGCACCGAATATTTCCACCGACATGCATTTGCTTCATCAACATCCTAGGTTCTCGCGGGAAATATCTCCTTATTTGAAGAACTCTGTACATTTCGTAGGCGTTACAAAATAAGACAGGTTGTTTTGAGGGGTTTGATTGGGTTTTTCCTAACGAGTTTAATGTCTTTTATAGCGGATTCAGGACGGAAATCTCGTAACCGCCTGTCGGTGAAATAGTTGGTGTCCTGTCCTCATATCCCCGCCAGGCTACTTCCTAAACAACCGCTGTCACACTCAAGTTCGTCTCGTCCCACACCGGCACTCCCCACCGCGGTACCTCGCGGTTGCCTACAACGCTGCCCACCGCCTGTTAAGCTGGCATGCTAGCATCACCTCTCCTGCTGAAACTATTATATACCCTTGTATCATTTACAATCATCCTGTGAACTTGACAAATATATATCGCATCGGTGACTTTTCTTATGCCTTGCTTGGAGGATGTGGATGCTGCGTTTAACAACTCTCTTCAGCCCGTTGCCAGTCCGAAATTATTTTCCGTGCCAGCCGTCACCCTTCGTGTGCTAACCTCAACGATTTCCGTTGCTACACTGTAGCATTTATGGACTTCGTTTTTTTATGTCGAAATCACAGTCCCGACAAGATTCTTCTTCTAAGTGAATCGATGTCCCTGTATGCGTGTTAAACATAGCTAAGATAAGGCACAGTTACTATAGCAACGTTCGAAGAAAACGAAGAATTTGTTTCGCGGTGAAGATGGCGTTCCGCGCACGCCGTTGGGAGAGTGAAGACCATTGGAATTGCGGATATCGCTCCCGACTAGATAACGTGATTTGCACCGACGCGGACATTTATCCAGTGTAATTCAATAATTCAGTATATATGAGGGATAGAGGCAGAGCCTTGGAAAACGCTATTTACAGATATAAGTTTAAAAAAACCTGCAGCTGTTTACATTGCAGTCATTGATATCGTGTTAATGTTTTACCATCAGGTATAAATTTATCTAGTCTTCTTTTGAAGGTCTTAGCGTTTTCCGCTAAGACAACGGAGTCCGATAATTTCTTCCATCCTCCAACCAGACGGTGGGAGAAAAATTTGGTCCGCACTTCAAGTTTGGCATATTTTAGTTTCGATTTGTATTGGTTCCCTCGAGGATTTGTCGTCCGCGTCATTTCAAAGCAATCGTCAAGCTGACGAACGCAGTCTAGTCCTCTGACGATCCTGAAGGCCATGATCATATCCCCGCTGTATTGCCTGTAAGAAAGAGGAAATATTTTTATCTTTTCCAGGCGTCTCTCATGAGGTAAGCTACTCAATCCGCCGACTAGCTTTGTCGCTTTTCGTTGTACATTTTCCAGTAGGATGTAATCTTGTTTCGTCCATGGGCACCACACCTGAACACAATATTCCAACATCGATCGAACGAGTGCTCCAAATACTCGGCCGAAAAGTTCTTCGTTAAAATTGAGAAAGGATCTTCTAAGCGCGCCTAGGATATTTATAACTTTCTTTGACAGCTTGGCGCATTGAGACGATGGTTTGCGAGTTGGTGGCATCTACATATCGGGGTTTCTTAACTTGTTGACTGATTCGAGTTGGTGACCTCCTACAAAGTAGTGAGACTCAAACCTCAATGGCCTCCTGTTGATCGATCGTAATCGGATAAGTTGGCAGTTGTTACGACTGAGACTAAGACACCGCTCAGCACGCCATTGTTGCAAGCGATTCAGATTGTCTTGTAACTGTACAGAATCTTCCAGCTATTCTATTGATTTCCACAATATGAGATAATCGGCAAACATGACGCGCTCGCAGTTCAGACAATCAAGGCAGTCGTACACATATATTAAGAACAGAATTGGACCCAGAACGCTCCCCTGGGGAACGCCACTGTGAAGGGATACCCATTCCGACTTAGCGTTTACGATACACACACGTTGAGATCTGCCCGTAAGAAACTCTGCTAACCATTTCAAGAGATTTCAGCTTATGTTGTCAAATAACATTATTTTACCTGTATTTTGCATAGTTGACAGGGTGGCGTTTAGATCGAATATTGTCTCTTTTAAATAAATCAAAGGCGCTCCTCGTAAATGCGTGGGCAGCGACTGCTTCAGCAGTTATAAGGTGATCATTTATGTCGTTTGACAAGTCAAAACCACAATTTCGTGACATTCTTCCTTGTGAAAATAGCCGACTCCGTTTTATCGTCGCTCGTCTGTGGACATCTGTTGCCGGAGATGTACATTGAACCCAGGGTATTCGGCTATCAATCTTAGGAAAAAAGGATCTTTTTGAGGGTCGCAATGTGCACCCAGAGACGCATCATCTCTTGAGTGGCCAAAGCTGTCCTTCTTTCTGAACGCGTGTCCCGCGGGTGACAGGAAAGTAAGCAAATGTCCCAAACTACCTGACTGACACTGCTACCTCCGGTCGGAAATATACACGAGGTTTTGTGTTTCCTGCGTTGCTTCAGCTCTCTTTACTCCGTCCAAATATCCTGGTTGGCTGGTGGATGCGTGGTTGTCGACAATTTTCCTAGGTTAATTTTCTACTTTTTTACCCGTTAGAGATATTCGGCGTCGGTACAAGCGGCCTCCGAAGTACACTATGAGTCATTAATCAGTTTACTTTCGTTGACGACACAAATTAATCTGGACCGCCAATGGGATGGCTGCCGCGCACTCCGTACGACAAGCTTCCGTTTTTGGAGAGTGAGGACAAGGCAAGGGGAAGATTACACAATTTCGATCTTCCAGGACGACGATGTCCGCTGACGCCGATTTGAGCACGAAATACGTTATAGTGATAGCTGACTCCTATCTCATCTACTGCACTCACTCCTCTCGCACACAAATCACTGCCCGACGTCAGGCCGGAGTAAATAGGACCAGATGCTGGATTGGGCCTAGTGATCGGTACCAATAAATATCTCGTCTATTGCGTGCCATGCACGCCTGGTCTGCGTATGATGGGCTAAATTTTGCAAGAAAAATCAAAGAAACATCCTGGATTCCGACTACATGCGAGTGAACAAGTCGCATTAAGAAGGAACCATTGTAGTTTGTCTCCCCGTCTTGGGGGCATCAGATCCTCCC